AAAGCAGACCACCACCTCTTCCCCACTCCTTTGGGAAAAGGACAATGACATCCCGATTTCTCAGACTGCAATGCACATACCTTTTGAGCAAACCCCTCCCCAGCCTGGCTCTGCCTCCGCCCCAGCGAGCGAGGCCGCCTGCAGCGATCCATCAAGCTTGTTTTCTTGTTGCTGCTACGGGCCAGCTGTAAATTTGCCTCTTCTCAACCAACCCGCGCCCCAACGCAAGTCCCAGGCACCGCCTCTTGCGAGGCACGTGCTCGCTTGAACCCTTCCCTCAACTGCCCCCCTAAAGCAAGCAAAGCTCAGAGGAATTTCAGCGCTGGATTTGCAATGAACTCCACCGAACTGCAACACAGCGCTGGTGCCCAAGAGCACACCAACAAGTGTTTGCAGCGGCTGCTGCTTCGGTCGGATTGAAGCGGTAACCGTGACGCACCGTTTCCATTGCAGTCCTGTCTCTTCAGAGGGTTGTGCATGCTTTAATTAGGATTTTACGGATTTCTCCGAGGTGGCAAGAGGCAAGCGCGAAGAGTGACAACTGACTATTGGGTGTTGGTGTTTCCATTTCTGGCAGGGAGAGCTTTAAAGCCGCAGAAGAGCGGCGCAGGCTGCCTAAAGCTGCACCCGGCAATGGAGGGGCTGAAGGAAACAGAGAACGGCACCTCTGGGAAGGCTCTGTGCCCTCTCGTGGAAAGCTATAAATACATCTTGTCACCCCTCACCTACAGCTCCGTCTTCGTGCTGGGGCTGCTCCTCCACGGCGCCACGCTGCGGCCCAGCTGCTGCCGCGCCGAGGGCTGGACCTGCACCACCATCTACCTGGTGAACCCGGCGGTGGCGGATCTGCTCTACCTCTTCTCTTTGCCCTTGCTCGTCGTCAACTACAGCCTGCGGGACGCGTGGCCTTTCGGAGAGCCGCTCTGCAAACCGGTCCGCTTCTTGTTTTACGCCAACCTGTACGGCAGCGTCCTGCTGCTGACCGGCATCAGCGTCCACCGCTTCCTCGGCGTTTGCTACCCCATCCGCTCCCTGCCCTACCGCGCCCGGCGCCTGGCTGCTGCCGGCACCGCTAAGGCCTTGGCGCCCGGGTAAAAACCCACCCTCACCTACGCTCGCACCGGCGGTATCAACAACCGCACCGCCTGCTACGACACGGCGAGCCCTGAGAACCTTGGCAGCTATTTCCCCTACGGCACGGCTCTCACCGCCGCTGGTTTCCTCTTGCCTTTCCTCATCATTTTAGCCTGCTCTGGTCTGATGATCAGAAGCCTCACCCGACACGCGGGAGACACTCACCCCACCGGCAGCGCCGCCCGAGCCAAGTCGACCCGAACCATTCTCCTCGTCTGTGGGCTTTTTGCTGTCTGCTTATTGCCGTTCCACACCACCCGCAGCATCTACCTCTTCGTCCGCGTGTACCGGGTAGCTGACTGCCAACTCCTACAGCGCTGGAGTTTGCTTTACAAGATCTGGAGGCCGCTGGTGAGCCTCAACAGCTGCATCAACCCCCTCCTCTACTCTCTTTCTGGTCAAACTAACAGAGCCAGGCTTGCTTTGGAGCTCAGACTGCCCAAGGCAGGTCCTCTGGCCAGGCCCGCCATGGACACAGAGGGAACAGACGCCCCAGCCAGGCTTGCTCCTTGCTGAGAAAGCACATTCCTGCAGATGTGTTCCACTTCACCAGGTATGAGACTTGGAGAAGAGCTGTAAGCCTGACCTGCATAACAACAAAAGCACAATTACAATTCCCCCACAGCGAGGGCAAACTGTAGCGAGGAAAAATTTGGGTGAAGAACACAGGAAATATTTTTATGAAGGACTGAGGGGCAAGCTGTCAGCATTTCCTGAGCCAGCTGTGACTCAATAAAGCAGAAAAGCACCCTTTCCAAAAGGCATACCTACTGTCCCTAGCTGCAAAGAGGGCTGTAAAGAAAAACGATAGCGAGTAACTAAGGAAGACGCCAGAGCAGAGGTAAGCAGTCGTCCCCAGCCTGTTTGTTAGGTAACAAATTATAAAGTGTGATGGCTGTTATTTCAGAAAGCTCCTTCAAGGATGATTACCACCACCTACCAGTATTTCCTTGGTGGGGCCCATCCCATCAGCACCTTCGCTAAAGGGCAGCAACCCTTCCTGTTGCCAGCCAGGCCCGCTCACGCTGAAGGCACTACGAAGAGAGGCTTTCACCTTCCGCGTAGTGTATTTCAAACGAGAATTAAGTGCTTCTCCACAGCACTTTTCACACCCAGATCGTAACAGCAGCAGAAGCCAAAAGTTTTGGGGAGTTCACTAGCCGAGAAGCAGGGGTTTGCCTAACATAAGGCAACTGGAAACGTGAACACGCTGTTTGTACGGTCACGTCTCATTGCTACACCTACAGCACGTTCACTCTCACTGCAGGAACCGTCTGGCTCAGAAACCTGTTCTCTCTGCAAAGGCAGCTCAATAAAACAGCTAACCCAGGGCCCAGAGGAATGGGGAACTCCAATACTCCAATTTCTTCCCTCCCGCAGTGTCCAACCCCATTACACGTTGTTTAAACACCACGGGCACAACGGGATAGGAACAAGCTTCGACTATCTGCACAAAACTTAACGTGCAAGAACCTGATAAGGACCTCGGCAAGTACCTTAACAGAAACATAATTTGAGTTACTGTTCTTAGAAAGTGCAAATTGCTTCCAAACCCACATTTGAGCTACAGGCAACTGTAAACCCATCACTGCCCACAACGTCTGAGTCGCACCCCTTCGTTCAAGCCAGCTGGGAGCAGCAGTTATTCAGAAGGGAAGCAAGGTAAGACAACAGGAGCTGCCAAGCCCTATGAGACCTAGATAGCACTACAAGGGTAAGAGGAATTGTCTCAAAGGCCGACAACAAATAATCTAGCTGGGACACTGCCTGACCCCATCCACGCAAGCATCAGGAACCAAAAGAAGCGGAAAAGCAGGCATGATACACACTCGAGAAGCAGCAGAGACACAGTAGCAGAAAACAAGCTTAAGAGCCAAGAAAATGGGGTCCTGTTTGTTCACAACCTCTTCACAATACTTAGCTTTAAGGAACTTGGCAAAAAAAAAAAAAAACACAAAAACAAAAAAAAACAAAAACGCCACACCAAACCAAAAAACAACCAACAAAAACCAACCAAAATATCTGTTTTTCAAGTCATCTCTGCAACAGCAGTGGCAGCTTCTCTCAGAAGGGCAGACCAGATGGCCAGGACATGGTAACTGCTTCAGCTACCCAATTTTACATATGCTGACACAAGGCAGAGCCCAGACTAAACAGACTTTGACTGACTCTGGTAACATTTTCTCCTTATTCAAAACAAAGCATAACCCAAACCCTTCAGATGTTCCAGACCACCTCCATCAGAACTGCATTTGCTTTCTCCCCACCTGAGCACGGTGGGTGTAACCACAGTAACACGGGCAAACTCAACCACAGAACCCAGATTAAGCCACCCAGTCAGCCAGGGCTGCTTCTGTTTCTTTGACATTCAGCAGATGGGGGCTTGGCGAGGAGACAGAGCAGCTTGAATTTCCAATCTGTTGATTCAAATTCGACCGAGGTTGGTAACAACTGAAATCCACCACTTCTGACAGCTGCTTAGAAGGCCACGCAAGCCGGTTTCAGCACAGTTCCTCGTGGGTAATGACAAACAAAACAAAAAAATGCTCCGGGGGCCACCTCCAAGACAGGCTTCTTGGGAGGTTCAGGAGGCACAGTTCACTGCTGCTGCTGTTACAAAACTCCCAAGGTCCTGGAGGGTAAGAAGCTTGTTCATAAGCACTATCGTCACGGCACAAATGCTTTTGTTGTTCTTAGTGACCAGTATTGATGAAAAAAAAAAAAATCTCAAACGTGCAAAAACATTTGCATATTTGGAGAACACCACGAGATCTGGAGCCCCACAGTGTCAGTCAGGCAGCTACTCCATTACTGAATGTTTGAAAGACATTTCACAACGCATCTGCATGAAAAGTTTCAATATTTACAGAGCATTTCTATGCTTTAAACATCTCCTTTTGAAGAGGTCTGCATGGAACAGCACACTGTGTGTACCTTAGGGCTTTCTGGCTTCCCATTCACGCCAACACACGTCTGCCCCATCCAACAGAACACGGCGTAGGGACACACTAGGAAGAGATTTTCATGGTACTCGGAGAAGGAGCTCATTTGAACAGCCCTGCTTTGCCTCTTTGCTTGGCCATCGACGCAAAAGCAGTAGCAGCGAGAGAGCACCTACAGCGGTAAGATACGCAATGGAGTATTAACTAAATTTTGAAACGAGAATGAGAAAGCCTATTGAAACATCCAGCCATTGCATCTGAAGAAAACACATGTCAAAGGAGAAAGAAAAAAAAAAAACACCCAGACCCGACGGAAAGGTACAGACCTACCCAGAAGCCACAACAGCTCTGGGAGGCCCCCACGCCTGCGGGTACCCCGTGTGAGCAGCAGAAGTAATAGCAGAGATGGGTAACACCCTCTATATTCTTCGTAAGTTACACCTCCCTCAGAAATTTCCCCAGATAATTTTAATAAAATACTCTATTAAACTGCTCTTTACTACCATATTTCCTAATTCTTCATAAACATCTCCAGACAAGCGTGCATATCCACTAGCAGGATTTAAGTCAGACCACTGCAGTCCAAAAGCAAAGCCCCACCTATAAACTCTGTATTTTAAAAACCCAACGGTCGGGAAAGCCACACCATGGCAGCAGCTCCTCTGGCTGGCGGGGGCAGAAGCAGTTAAGGGAAGCTCTGCAGGCAGACTTAGAACGGTGGGCAGCTTTCAGCTCAAGCCCGTCCAAATCCATCGCGACCAGGACTCGCGCAGACATCACCAAATAACTCCGCAGCAGCCCCTGCTCAGTCCCTCCCCCAGCCAAGGCAGGCAGGCCGCTCGCTGCTGCAGCTGCTGCCCATATCCCTCCCACCACGATCACAACCAGATTTTCTCTATCAAAAAGCAACTGCCTTTCAGAATCCAAAAGTCTCTTATCCTCTTGATGATCAGCCTGAAACTACGAAGCACGCGTTGGAAGTCTGAAGGACAAACCCAGCGGCGAGACTTTCCAGCGCAGGGCTGGAAGCAAAAGGGCTGCCAATAGAAAGAGGAAGGCTCCATCCTACTGGGAATTTAGTAGAGGAATGGGGGAATAAGGGACCAAAAGCCAGATAGCTCCCAAGCTCCACACCCACCACTGAAATGGCAAGGGAAAAGGAAATCAATGGGCTGAAATCCCTCCGAAAGGAAAGGCGAGGGCATTTGGAATGGAGCCGAAGCAGGACGCTACACCACTTGCAGAGGGCCACCACAGGACTTTAGCAAGGTGCTCAAGAGAATTTCCGAATTGAAAATAAAGTTTCAAGGAGACATCGAGGCCACAGTCGCTGTCACATCAGACACGAAATGCCGACCTACGGGTAACAGCAGAAGAGTTATCCACAACCTTAACAAGTCAGAATTAAAGAAGCAGCAGCAGCTGAAGGTGATGAAGAGCAACAGAAGAACAAGAATCTAATTCCCTCTCTCCCCAAGGGGAAAAAACCAAAACAAAACAACGCATCAACCCATCAGTGGGGGGAACCGGGCAAAACTTTGCCTTTGGATCCTCAAAGATCCACTTCCCCAGAAGCTCTCTGTATGTCTCAGGGGAAAGAAGTCACGCTTGTTTAATAACAAATGCACATGTAAGGCTTAACAACGCATCGCTGAACAGTCAGGTCACAAAAATACAGGTGCCGGTATCCATTTAAAGCTTTTATTAAAAAAGACCCAGAATTAACAAGTCTACAAGGAAACAAGCCAACCTGCACGACCAGGCTCAGAGCTGACAGCGTGCAGGTCTCACAGGGAGCACAGAAAGCACCAACAGAAGTTACCACAGGCCGGCACACTGTTCCCCTTCAGCAGTAAGCTCGGCCTAGCTCACAACCTGCTACCTCATTTTCCTAGATTGTTCTTCAGAATGCAGGGCTATTGACGAAAATAATCCCACCTTGGGCTTTCAGGAAGATAAAAGAAATCTCCACCGACAAGTCTCTTTAAAAAAAAGCCACAAAAAAACCCAAAAACCTTAAGACCATGAGTTCTGCTTAAATCACCGCAGGCAAAAAAAAAAAAAGTATTCCAGGTATGACATCAGATTTTTATTCCAAAAACCCTTTCTCTGCAGCCATCAAAGGCTCTTAAGCATTTTGTGGCACGCAAGGACTCCCTGCAGTCAGGCAAGGAAAGCTCGCTCAGCCCTGCGCACCACATCCTCTACCTCTCCAGCAGCTCTTCGCTTGGTGTACCTCGGGCTCCAGCAAGGCAGATGCTCTCACCTTTTAAGAGTCCGTTAGCTTAGTTTAGGAACAGTTTGTCTAATTACCTAAGCGAGCCTTGGTGAGTAACAAAAACAAACGCACTCTGCAGGAGTTACTAGGAACTAGGCATTCAGCAAGAAGCTTCCACTGAAATTATGGGAAAGCATTACGTTTCATTATGAAATCGAGTATTTTTTTCCACTGAAAGCCAAACTTCAGTTCTTGCATTTAACTTATTTCATCATTTTTAGTCACAACCCCTTAAAAAGTCACACCAATTTTCACACTCATCAGCCCTTACGTGAGGTTTCTTGCTAAGCCTGTGA